TTGATGCTATTTAGTAATTTTATAATGCTTAGTGTTTTTTGGAAAATAGTCAAGGAAAGGCTTAAAGCTGAGTTTTCTGATTGGTAATAAGATGGAGAAAACCTTTTCTAAATCACATATGTTTTGTAACAAGCATTTTTAGTTGCAGTGTTCTGCAAAGAAAACCTGCTGATACAGTTTTTCCTGTTTTATAAATCTTTGACCCATTCATCAGACTCTGACCACGCTAAAGATAAAGGGTTATGGTTGTATTGGTCTTTCTCACTGAAGTGGCCTTCTGCAGATTGAGAAATTGTGTAATCATTAACTACGGTAATGGATATGTACTTGCAAGTTTCATCTGGTATCTGAATGAGCTTTAACCCTCTGAGAACACGCAATACAGTCCAAAATCATTGAAATTTACCTGTTGTCCATAACTTAATGTTTTAGTCTGTGTGTTTTTCCTATCACAAGTATTTTATTTCCCTGCCTTTGGCACATTTCATCTGTCTGCTTACACACTCACAACTCCTGTGAATAAGAGGATTTAGTAGCATCAGTCATATAAAGATAAAAAGTACTGTTTTGAATTAGCTGGACCATATTTTCTAGTCAATATTTTGTGGAGGAGGAAATCTCACAGGCATGTATAGGCAAATAAGTGAAGGCATAACGATGTAATTATTGTATATGAACAGCCTTGTGTTTTATAGAACTTTGATTCATTGCAGACATCTCTTAGCCTGGGAGATCTCTGAACTCTCAAGACTGCTTCACCATCTCCCCCTGCCTAGAAGGTAGTCAGGTTATGAATCTTGGGAATCTGGGGTTTGTGGTCTCATGACATAAACCATACCAAACAAACTTGAATCCAAGGACTATGAAATCTATCTACTTATGGGGCCATTTAGTCAGTTTTCCTTCAGGATGGAGGCTAACTAGGGCATTGCATTTTTTTCTACTGTGATTGTGGTAAATAGAGTGATACTAGAAATAATAGTGTGATGTTAGGGAGATCAGTATAGATTAATAAAACATAATTAGATATTCAGTAGTTAAGTGAATGAGTTTGGATGAATTCTTTGGTGATGTCTAGAATGAAAACAGAAATGGCCTAAGGGAGAAGGGAGAGATCAAAGAACAATTTAGAAAAGAATAGGGTTCTAGAAACCAAAAGAAAGGGTTTTACAGCAGTGTAAGAACTTACTAGATAGTTTGGACTTCACTGATGTCTAATAGAGACAGGAAATGGAAGTCAGATTACATGATATTTTGAAGAAAATGTTAAGTAAGCACACAGAAGCAGTGAATGTCTTACACTCTCTTTAAACATTTTAGACATTACCTATCCTTTGGATAAGGCAATTTAGGCTTTCTTTGCTCCTGTGTTTGTGGGCGGCAGTTGGGATGACTTTGGGACTGTACTGTACCCCTTAATTCTGAACGGCATTTAAATTCAGTTTAGAATTTTGTCATTACCATAGTTCAAAAGGCCTAAGGAAAATGTGGATAATGGGCTGTCCTACTTTGGTTGATTTGCTTCAGGCTTTGCCCTTTTGGGCACACCCCTGTGTTTAATCTTGTGGTAGCTCAGTATCACTATTTTATAGTTGTCATTTAATCTCTCCCATTAGACTATAAACTCCTTAAAGTTCCTTGTTGTTACTGTTGAAATCCATGGATTTCAATATGTGCCTTAATGCCTGGCACATACTATTGAGTATTTGTTACATGAAAGATTGAATAAATAAGCCAATAATTAATACCTCTCTTAAACACAAAAGAATTCCAATTTTATGGTCTCATAGAATCAAAAAAGTAGAAAGTTTCAGAGAAGAGGAATTGATAAACAGTTTCAAATGGCAGCAAAATAAGGAATGAAACTGACCTTTGGGTCTGACTATTTTTTTTTTTAAAGATTTATTTATTTTATACAAGAACTGGGGTACAGGCCAGATGCGCGAGCGAGTGAGAGGATTCACCAGAGACAGAGCGGGGAACAGAACAGGCAGACTGACAAAATACACTGCTGAGGGGAGCAGTGGGCCAGACAGGAGAGGTCTACCGCGCCATGTGGAACCCTCCCAGAACCGGGATTGAACCTGCGCTGCAGGGGCTGCGGACAGCTTCACAGCAGGGTGCTCAACCGCCTGCGCCACCAGGGGAGGCCCTGGGTCTGACTGTTAAAGGCCATTGATTTACTCTGTAAAAAGCATAATTGCAAAATGACTGGAGAAGTTATGTTTGCATGGGAAATAAGAACAAAGAAACATGGAATTTTGTTTTTCCCAAAGATTTGACGCTAAAAGGAAGAATCTATTGGTAAGAAGTACAAGATTTGAGAGAAAGGAGCTCATTACAGTAATTTAATGCATTTTATTGGAATTTACCTGAGTATTTCCCACCTGCATATTGGGTAATATTTTTCTCTTCCACTTGGTTTTGAGTTATCTTTTGAGTTTGGTTTTTGCTGTGCTGTTTGGGGCCCCCTAGTGACCAATCTAATAATGACATATAAATAGTAAAACATTAGTTAATCTCATTTACCAGCTATTTTTTATGCAGGTTATTCTTTCTGTGAGGACTCTACGAGCTATGTGGTTACAGTAATTACAGTGATGCTTAGCTCCTCTTTGATTTTTTTTCTGTGGTTCAAAACTTACACCTGAACTTAGAGTAACTGTTTCCTTAGTAATAATTCAGTATTTTTTTTACAATTTTCAACTGAAAATTGTAGTGTGTCTTTGTTTTAGCTGCTAATATTGTTCTTTTTTTTTTTTTTTTTTTTTTTTTTTATAGAGGCATGCTTTATTTATTTGTTTGCTGGTTTGTTTTGTTTTTTTTTTTTTTTTTTTTTTTATACATGCACTGGGTACAGTCAGAAGCGCGGGAGGGTGAGAGAATTCACCAGAGCCAGAGCGGGGAGCAGAGCAGGCAGAAGGACCGAAGTACACTGCTGAGGGGAGCAGCGGGCGGCAGGAGAAGTCTGCACGCCATGTGGGACCCTCCTCCGGTGGCCGGGGAGCAGCCGGGGATCGAACCGGCGCCGCAGAGGCCGCGGGCAGCTTCGCAACCCAGCGCTCAACCGCTGCGCCACCGGGGAGGCCCTAATATTGTTCTTAACTCTCATCATTGTTCTCAACTCTTAGTCTATAATGATAGATTCAGCTCCATTGTAATATAACTACTGGAACATATTCTGTTTGAAGGTTGTGAAAGAAAAGCCTGAGTTTCCAAGCAAAAAAAGATTTGATTGTTATGAAAATAATGCATAGTCATTATTCATCATAATAAAACTTTTAAAATATATCAATCTTTAAAAAAATCATCCTTACTCTTACTTCTCAATGTTTTTCTTTCTAGGATTTTTTTATTTTATAAAATATTTCTGACCAATATAAGGAACACCTTTATAATCAAAACTAATTAAAAAATTAAAACTTATTCAGTGCAGTTTAAGTCCCTGTGCACCCTTTGCCTGTCACATTCCCATTCCTCATGCTGAAAGCTAACCATAATTTAGTGTCTTATATAATAAAATTCAACATTAACATCACAAGTTGTATATCCTTTAAATTATTTTTTAAAAATTATGTTTGTAAGATGTATCCATGTTGACATGTAATTCACTGACTTATTTTTTCTGCCATATATTAATCCTGAAATTCCAATTTCTCAGAAGAAACACAATTGATCATCATGATTTGTTTACATAGACTGTTTAAGCACAGTGAGTCATTCTAATCAAGGCATGGTGGGAACCCTCTTGAAATCTAAATTCACAGATGCCAGCCAGAGACTCACCTTGCAAGCAGATCTTTTTAAGTACTGTTGTCTTGGGCCTGCTGTTAACTCCTTCTGCACAGATACCTCTTAGACATTTCATTGCAATGAGGACTAAGAAGAAAATTGGATAAGTAGTCAGGAGTACAGAGGAGGGGTGGTGATGAAGATGTAAGCATGGTAGTCATTAGTGTATAGAAGGTTTTCTGAGCCCTGAGATTGAATTTAAGTACTTAGGGAGAGAGAATACAGAGAGATTCAAATACTGGGCCCTTCAGCAAGAAGATGAGGAAGCTAGGAAAGCAGACTGAGGAGCAGCTGATGAGATAGTTTGAGATGGAATATAATCAGGAGGATGAGTAGCTCTAAAGCCAAGTGAAAAAAGTGTTTCAAGAAGGGAGGAATGATTAGTGATGTCAAATGCTGCTGATAGGCTGAAAATGGAGAGTTGACTGATGACAATGTGGAGGTTGTTGGAAACCATGAAATATGCTATTTCAGTGGAGCATTTTGAATCAATGCCTGACTGGAGTGGTTTTAGGAGAGAAAGTGAGAAGAGGGAGTGTAGATTATTCTTTCAAGAACTTTGCTATAAAAGAACAGAAAAATGGTGCATAGGTAGAGAGATAAGGGAGACAAGAAATAACAGCATGAAAAAAAAAATAAGTCTATTTGTATGTTGATGGAGATGACCTAGTACAAGAAAGAAAAATTAGTGATGTAGTTGAGGA